AGGATAGCTCACGCACGAATCATTTGGCTCCTAAATGGGAAAGCTGAGTAACTTACAGCAACTACGTGCATTGGATTGATGAGCCTACTGCTGTTTATGGCGGCTCACTTCAGTTTCCCTGATTTGATCACCAAGAGCAGCTTGGCTTGGCACCATTTGGTTCGAGTCACCGGTTCCACCGTGTGGCATAGGGCATGGCAGAGAAAGAAGGAGGTCATTTGCTCGCGCTCGCTACTGAGGCATTTGATGGCTTTGGACAACTCAGTAGCATCCATATGTACCTCACAGTACGCATTCCAAACTGCGTCTCAAGAAGCTACTAATAGCAAGAAGCTATTCGGTTGGAGGCCATTTCTACTAGTAGCAAGAAGCTACTAGTAGCAAGGCACCTAACTACGTCTCAACAACCCTCCATACAACGACGTATAAGAATCCTCCAAACCCTGACAACACAGAAAGAAGGGACGCTTGTTGCGCATGGACACTTCTTCTTGAGACTGTAGTGATGTTTGATTTGGTTTCTCAAGTTCTAAGCGGAATTGTTGTGCATGCCAAAGCGCATGAGCGTCATCAAGGACAATCTCCTCCAACCCTTCGAGGCCATAGATCTTCCCTCCCACAGAACAGCACTTGTATTCCTGGTCACGAAACTCAACGGAAATACATCTGAGGTTTAATTGTCCTTGAGGAGAGAGTCCTACTGTGCAGAAAGTAAAAGGGGACACCAAGCTGTGGTGTCCTCCATTGTACCAAGTAGTAGCTGCAGTAGCAGTAGCCGTAGCAGTAGCAGTAGGAATAGCAATAGCAGTAGCAGTAGTAGTAGTAGTAGGAGTAGTAGGAGTAGTAGGAGTAGCAGTAGCAGTAGCAGTAGCAGTAGCAGCAGCAGCAGCAGTAGTAGTGTAGTAGTATGAGTAGCAGCAGCAGCGGCAGCAGCACAAGCAGCAGGACGATAGTAGCAGGAGCAACACTAACACGGACAGGGCTAGGGGAGGCAAAATCGCGAATTCCTTGCCAAGAATCCATGACATTCTGTGTCAAGGTGCCCGTCTTGTCAGAGAAGACATGGGTGATCTTCCCCAAGGTATCAATAACTTGGCTGCAGTGTGCCTCTGACTTTCGACCATTGCTGCAAGTCCCAGGATCCTCTTCCAGCATCTTCCCCTGAAGTGTCAAAACACCTTGAGAAATCAAGCAACTAGGAACAAGTGCATCGCTACTAGTAACAAGTGCCTTACTAGTAGTAACAAAAAGCTATTAGAAACAAGAAGCTAACAAGTGCCTTACTAGTAGTAACAAGAAGCTCTACAATTCGGTCAAGCTTCCAAAGCAAATTTCACCACAGTTGTAGTGATCATCAGGGAGATGGGCACCATGCTATTTAGCATCAGAAACCAAATCCCAATCTGTCTGAAAGGGTTCAAAAACCGTGGCAAGCCGTCCAAATACCAGAGCTGATGGCCATGCATCCCTTGCCACATCAGGCTACAAATGGAAATCAAAACACAGGTCCCCATCTGAGCTCCGAAAATCATCATCACCACCTGATTCAGCTTTTCGTCCAGCGCACTGTTCTTAAAACGGGCTGCTCGACTGTTCTTGAAACTGCGCGTCTCTTTTCCAACATAAACCGCCATGCAATAAACCCAGCCCGTCTGCTGCAACGAAGTGCCGCGCAAGAGCAGACTACCAACACCTAGCCCACGAGATTGCTCTTCCATCAAGCCTCAAGAAGGGCCCATCTGAAGCGCAAACCACACAAAGTAAAGAAACATCTCCCCTCAAATATTTGTCTTTTTCTCTGTTCGTCTTGTTCTTGTGATTTCAATGTTTATTCTAGACCCGTTTTTCCTATTTACTTATTTCAAGAACGGCATCCACCTGTCCATTCTATTTTGGACGCTCTACGTCCGCTGCCAGTTATACGTGTGCATGAGAATAGGGGATCCTTCTACGACTGTTCTCCCCATTCTACTACCGCTATCGAAGTCCATCAAAAAGTCCTTCGCCCCAGAAAGGGTGCCTAAAACAAAAAACGGACATATATATATATATACATGAAAAAAATAGATAGGCACCATTGCTATTAGGTTGAAGGCCATCGCTCTTAGGTTGGAGGCCATCGCTCTTGGGTTGTTAAGAACATGTATATATGAAAATAAAAGAAAAACATCGGCATCTCCCGTTTAGCTCATTGTTTACTACTAGTAACAAGTGCCACGCTAGTAGTAACAAGTGCCTTACTAGTAGTAACAAAAAGCTATTAGAATTAATTCAAGCAACATAAGGAGCTCTTGAAGGCATAGAGGTTTCCACTTGGAGGTTCACAGACCAGGCTTGGTGCAGAGCCAGGTCCAATCCGCCGACAGTTCCAGGCTGCCTCCTGGGAAGAAACCCAAAAGAAAACAACCAAAACGAAAGAAAAGGAAGTGTAAGCATGTTAACCCATCTTCTCTTCAGTCCTGAAAGGGTAATTGAGAAGAGTAGGCGATTTTGGATTGTGAAAGAAAAGCATCCACCAAATTGTGCGTCTCTTCTCTTATGGCCATAAGCTACTAGGAACAAGTGCATCGCTACTAGGAGCAAGGGCCTTACTAGTAGTAACAAGAAGCTTACTAGTAGCAAAAGGAATCTACTAGGACCTTTGGACATTTCGTGACCCAAACCTCGGTCACCTAATTAACCTTAATTCTAATTACGAATTCTTGTTACTAGAAGCGATGCACTTGTTCCTAGTAGCTTCTTTTTTCTGATTTGTTCCTTTAGACCTGTCTTCCGATTTATGCCTGTTTATGTAGACTCGCCCTTGTTCTGTTCTTTCTCTTGTTTCTCTTGACTGTTCTTCCGGTTTGTTCTTTTATATTTAGACTCAACCCATTTCTTTTCTTTGTTCTTTAGATCTTCTTTTGCTTGAAGCTGGAGGACCACCCTTCTCACAAAGAATCCTGGAACTCTTCCTTTGTCAAGGCAGGAGCTTTCTTCTTCAGGTTCGTCTCACCATCCAAGTTTGCTGTCTCTATGCAGCAGTGTCCATCATCATGGCAGCTCGTCAGCAGCAAGCAGTCCTGGGACAACATCAATCATGACTTCTCTCTTCCCTGCATCTAATCTGCACCTCTTGAATCGCATACAAATCACACAGCAAAATCTCTGCTGATGCATTGATTTCACTTCTAGGACTGCCACCTGGAACAAACCTTGGATTATTTTATGTTGGAAGCCATCGCAAGTAGGTTGGAGGCAATCACTATTAGTTTGCTTCTGACTTTTGTAAGACCTCTCACTGACCATGCTTTTTCCACCAAGACTCTGCAGGAATGGGCTCGCCTTCCTGCACTTTCAGCACCATCCCAGGCTGAATTTGACCCCAAATAATGGACGTCTCGTCCAGTTGTTCGTCCACCATCACGGCCTGCACATCCAGTCAAACCACTGACACAAGACTGTTTTAGCCGGTGTCCTCGAAGCATGTTGTTGTTGTTTTTCGAGAATGGTCAATTCTGGGTTTTCAATGGGATACGCCGTGAAGCCAAAGCCACACATAAGCAAACTCTCACCACTCTGTCACACTCTGCCTGTCGGCTGTTCTCCACGCGGTCGGAGTGCATCCGTTGGCAATCTTCAAACAAATCCTTCACAGCTTGCATAAATACCACAGCACTTAGTGGCACCAGGGTGGCAGGTTGTCCTTTGGTATTGCTGATGGCAGGGATGAGCTGTCCCAACGCCACCAGCAAGAAATAGAAATTTCCCATCTGGCTGAACTGCTCCAGCAAATTCTTCGGAATAAAGTTATACCAGGTGTATTTGTTGGTAAAAATCCGATTGTTTCGCCGTCCATCTGCAGAGAAGAGCTTGATGCTTCGAGCGTCATCACTCATGCCGACCGCTCGGACCGCACCGTCATCCGCAGGGACCGTCTCTGCACACGAAAGCGTGCTTTTGAAGGGCACACCAGGTCTATTTTGTGCTTAGCATGCGGAAGTACCAACAAGCACAAACGGGGGTTGACCTGTCTGCTAGTAGCAAGGAGTGGGAAAGAAAGGCGTAAAAGTACTAGCAAGAGGCGTGAAGAAACCACCTCATCGCCCCAAAGGATGCAATTCTTAGGAGGCAATGATCGGTTCTTTGGTCAAGGTATACTGCTGGTTTGGGCTGAACACACAGGAGCGTGCACACATGCATTTGAGCCCATAGGATTGTGCCAGTCGCGTGTTTTTGCGCAGCTCAAGTTGCATGGCAGAGGGTTATATATAGAGGGCAGTGATACTATGGGAAAATCGTGCATAGTACCTGGAAAAGTGAGGAGTCATGTTAGTGATTCTGATACCGTTCCCCTCTTGTGGGCTACTGAAGGCTTTCTCAAAGTTCTGAAGAAGTCTAAACCCAAAAACGGATCACAAAGGTGCAGAAACCCTGCGAAAACAAAGATAGAATGCGCCATGTTTATACTCTTGCGGTGGTCTTCCTTCAATCTTTGGGAGCCGCCCTGCTTGTTGGAAAGCCATCGGATGTTAGGAGTGCATGCCACGAGCCCCTAGTAGCTTCTTGTTACTACTAGTAAGGCACTTGTTACTAGAAGCGATGCACTTGTTCCTAGGAGCTTCTTGTTCCTAGTAGCGATGCCAGGAGCCCCTAGTAGCTTCTTGTTTCTGGTAAGAATGCTCCTAGTAGCGATGCCAGGAGCCCCTAGTAGCGTCCTTGCTCCTAGTAGTAAGGCCAGGAGCCCCTAGTAGCTGATGTTAGGAGTGCATGTTTTGCTACCGCAAACACTTTGGTCGTGCAAGGTATCCAAATGGAAAACCTGCTGGTTTGGCCGTTGACGGTGTCGATGGCTCCGACAGCTCTTCTTGAAGACTTGGTGACTCCAAAGGAAAGAAGAATTGAAGTGACTCCATAGGGTGGATTCCGGTGGATCGTTCAAAACGCTTCAAAACTATGTCACTGTCCCTTCCAAGAGCTCCTTATCCACGCCGTTCTTCTGCCCTTGCTCCCTTTTGCCAGAGCAGATATGATCTGAGGAGGGACACGACCGAGACCCAACCGAGGCCCAACTGGAACGGCTCAGCAGTTTACGGCGTCAATAAAGCTAAGTCTTTGAGCATCTTCTCCACAATGGGCCGACCTTTAGATCTCCAATCATCAACTGCGGCGTGGAATTCGGCTGTTCCAGGTTTCAGTGAGATGTCCTTGCCGACCAAGTTGCTACCCATACCTACGATACTTGCACCGGCCTTGAGCCATTCAGATGCATTGCCTGGAGACACGCTACCAGAAGGCAAAATGTTCAAGTTTTCACCCAAGGGTGTCACATCCAGCATAGCTTTCAGGATGGCAGGAGACGCCAAGCCCGCATGAAAGAGTTTGATGAGACGTGCACCTCGCCGGTGCATCGACCAACATTCATTGCTGGTGAAGGCAGATGGGACCGCCAGGACACCGAGATTCTTGCAAACTTCGATAAAGCCGATCGGATCAATGGGAGATAATGCGAAAGAAGCTCCAAGACTCTTGGCCAAGGGAATTTGGGACACGGTGTCATCCATCACCGTGCCCACACCCAAAATCACATCCGGAAGTCGCTGATGCAGGGATGATAAGATGAGCTGCCAATCAGCACTATCCATGGTGACCTCCATGGCTTTACATCCCAAGGATGCCAATTCGACCCCTCTATTGATAGCCACCTGTGCATCACCCTTGACTCGAAAGATTGGCAACACCTTGGCATCTTTCATCTTCTTCAAAGTCATTTCAATGACTTCGGCTGCGTCAACTGCAAAAGATGGAACAGAAACGATGGGACCTGATGTAGCTGATATATGATGGACCAGTGAGGTGGAGCTGGATGGAATCTGGCGCTCTTCCGCAGCCGAAAGCTCCTCGCTGCTCCAAAAATGAAAAGAAACCTCCTCGCTGCCGCTTTGAAAACATGAAAACAACAAAATGGACGACTTTTTATAACCTGAAGCCTCAGGAGAGAGTGCGGCTTCTTAGCCTGGTAGCTACTTGTTCTACTTCTGCATTCTCTCCACACAGCCTACCCTCCCCAACTAGATTCTCAATCTTTTTTGGCCGCTCCTACTTGATTAAGTCGGCACCTGCCTAAACAAGTAAGGGAGAAGTAAGCTACTCTATATATATATATAGGCGAAGTTAGCTTCTAGACTTGGACGTAGGATGGCTCACGCTCGCACTGATGATTTGGTTCTTGGCATGACTTCCTGTGTCTTAATCACCTATCCTGTGTCTTAATTCCGCTTACTTACTTCGTCTAGTTTAAAGAAGCGTCTACGTTGTCGTCCGCTCCTGGATGCTCACTCGGGAGAAGTCGCCCTCAGTGTTTTGACTGAGCGCTGAAAGGAGATCAGCTCGCCGCAAGGCCTCGGGGATGGTCAAGGAGTCGACGTGCAACGCATGGATCAGACCTGCAGGGGCGCCATGGCACAAGCACGCTACTAGGGCTCCTGGCATCGCTACTAGGAGCAAGGACGCTACTAGGGGCTCCTGGCCTTGCTACTGGTAACAAGAAGCTACTAGTAACAAGGACGCTATTGAATGGAGGCCGTCGCTACTACGGTGGAGGCCCCAATCTGCTGGAGTTATCGATAGCAACTATATTAGACCGTTCTTAATTGTCCTGTTTCTTTGTTTCGAGCGGCCTGCAAGCTACAAGCGATGGCAAAACCCTCTGGACCGGACCTGCTGCCCAAGCACTTCCGCCACCGCATTCATCCTTGGGGACATGAGAGATAGGGATCGACCGATGCTCTCGGACAGAATCTCCATCGAGCTCGGTCAACAAACTCCAACGTGTCTGAAGCCCGGTTGAATCATCCCGGTTCTTCACGCACATTGCCAGGCGCTTACATTTCAGCTGCCGGATTAAGCGTGACATGATGTGCAAATAGACAGTGTCAGAGTCACCTTCCAAGCTCGTGTTGAGGAGCAGTTCTGCAAGACCACTCAACTGATCAGTCGAAAGAATCAACACCTCCAAAGCACTGCAGAAAGGGGAGACGATGTTCCAAAGCTCCGATAAGGTGCCTGGGGTGTTTAAAATGTGTGATGCAACCAACATACGAAGCTCTCGCTAGACTTAACACATTTGATGCCTAGCTGCACTAGCTGCACTATACACTAGCTGCACTAACTTCCCACAACTTCTTCCAGATATTCAACATGCGAATCTCCAACCTAATTGTTTCCGATGGTTGAGGTCCAAGGACACTGGAAGGCAAGAAGTCGCCTCATGCATAGCTGCCTTCCAACTTCTCTGTGCATTGTCGCCCAAGAGTGGTGTAATGCCACTGACATGGAACCAGCTACTGGACTTCAAACTCGACCACTCCAGCTCGTGGGCAAAACGTGCGAATGCAGATGAGCTCCTCAAAGAACTGAACGAAGAAAGCAGAATCTTCACACACCTACTAGCGAGGACGCTACTAGGAGCAAAGGGCATCGCTACTAGGAGCACGGACGCTACTAGGGGCTCCTGGCATTGCTACTAGTAACAAGAACGCTACTAGCGCGATGGCCTCCAACCTAATAGCAAAAGGAACCTAGTATAGCGATGGCCTCCAACCTAATAGTGATGGCCTCAATTACACCACCGTAGACCCCAAACAGTTTGTGTTTTTCAAAACCGGAACAGTCTGCAACTAGAGCTTGCGACGTCCAGAGCTGGGAGACAGCCAATCCGGGTCGCGGTTCACGGCGGCCTGTCAGCCACTCAAGATCCTGACCGGCCACTCAGCCACTCAGCCACTCAAGATCCTGGGTGGCTGAGTGGCTGAGTGGCTGACACGAAGAAAGCCTGAGTGGCTGAGTGGCTCATTGGAAGAAAACCCTGAGTGGCTGACAGGAAGCCGAGTGGCTGAAGTAGTAGTAGTCGTCGTCGTCGTCGTCGTTGTCGTGGTAGTGGTAGTGGTAGTGGTAGTGGTAGTGGTAGTGGTAGTAGTAGTAGTAGTAGGAATGGGGGTAGGAGTTAGGAGTAGGAGTAGGAATGGGGGTAGGAGTTAGGAGTAGGAGTAGGA